TTCTTCCTCTCATCTCGGCTTGCCCCTCACACGCCTCGTGGACCCATAGGGAGCTCCATCGAGTGCCCCAGTGGTGGGGTGCGCATGAGTTCCTCCAGCACGCATCTCACACGTTCCGTGGTCCCATAGGGAGCTCCATTGAAGCTCCAGTGGAAGAATTCGCATGCTTTCCCGTCGCCCATTTCGGCAAACCTTCACACGTTCCGTGGCCCCAGCGCGCGATCTCGCCGTCCGTTTCGGCCCACCCTCGAACGAATCGTGGCCACATAGTGAGCTCCACCGACGGCCCCAGTGGCAGAGTTCGCATGCGTTCCTGCAGCCCATTTCGACAGGCCCCCCTCACGAATCGTGGCCATATGGGGAGCTCCACCGAAGGCCCCAGTGGCAGAGTTCGCATGCGACCCCGCGTTTCATGTCAGCACAACCCTCTCACGCTTCGAGGCCCCATGCGGAGTTCCACCAACGGCTTTTGTTGCAGGGTCCGTATGCGTCCCCCCCGCCCATTTCGGCGCATGCGTCCCCTGACCACTTCGGCAGAAACCTCACGCGCTTCGTTTCCCTTCGGGGAGCTTCACCGAAGCCTTTTGTGGCAGGGTTCGCATACGCCCCTCCGCCGTTTCCCCGCTCAATTCGGAGCTACCTTCACATGTGTTGCTCACACTTGCATATGACTGGGTCCTTCGCCAGGGTGTTTTTTCCCAACCATCCTGTGGTGTTGGGTCCTCGTTTTGAAGAGACAGCGCCCCGCGTCCCACCTCCTCTCCTCCTCCTCCCCCTCCTCGCCCTCCTCCCTCCTCCCCCTCCTTGCCTCTGCTCTCGGCACACCCCTCACACGTTTCGTAGCCCCATAGGGAGCTCCACCGAAGGTCCCAGTGGCACAGCCCGCATGCGGTTCCCCACCCAGGGCAGCGTTTCGTAGCCCCATAGGGAGCTCCACCGAAGGTCCCAGTGGCACAGCCCGCATGCGGTTCCCCCACCCAGGGCAGCGTTTCGTAGCCCCATAGGGAGCTCCACCGAAGGTCCCAGTGGCACAGCCCGCATGCGGTTCCCCCACCCAGGGCAGCGTTTCGTGGCCCCATAGGGAGCTCCACCGAAGGTCCCAGTGTTCGCATGCGGTTCCCCCACCCAGGGCAGCGTTTCGTGGCCCCATAGGGAGCTCCACCGAAGGCCCCAGTGGGGGTTCGCATGCGGTTCCCCCACCCAGGGCAGCGTTTCGTGGCCCCATAGGGAGCTCCACCGAAGGCCCCAGTGGCACAGCCCGCATGCGGTTCCCCCACCCAGGGCAGCGTTTCGTGGCCCCATAGGGAGCTCCACCGAAGGTCCCAGTGGCACAGCCCGCATGCGGTTCCCCCACCCAGGGCAGCGTTTCGTGGCCCCATAGGGAGCTCCACCGAAGGCCCCATAGAGGGCTCCACCGAAGGCCCCACCCAGGAACGTTTTGTGGTCCCACAGGGAGCTCCATCGAAGGCCCCAGGCGCTGCGCCCGCATGCGGGGCGCCTGTGGGGCCCGCAGCTTCATGTTCGAAACCGAACGAATATTCAGTTCTCGTAGCTGTCGTCACTGTTGTGTTCTTCGGAGGGCGACTCGCGCGACCCATGATGTGAGGAGGAGGAACAGGAATTGAGGAGGACGCAGTGGACGACCCCCGCGCGTCGATGGGATTCCCTCGGGATGACCAGACCGCGTCGGTGGGGACTCCCCAGCCACTTTCGAGCGGCGCCGCCTGCGCAGTGCACTCTGCGTGGCTCGCTATCGGCCCGGAGGCAAAAATGTCACCCCTCGTCTCTCGCTCCTCTTGCTTCCTTTTGCTTCTTGACCGCGGCCCCCCCGGTCTCGTCTCTGCCGTTGCTGGCCTGCCCCTGACATTTGCGCGGTTTCTCCGTAACATCTTCCTGCGTGCCCAGTAACAGGTCTGACGATGCGATGATGATACTGATGTTTTGGATCGCCCAGTGAGCTCTCCTCCTTCTCCAGCCACCTCCTGCCCGCGCTGTCTTGCGCCTCGTCCGTGCTGTGGCGCAGTGCCCATGACAACAGGGGCCATGCCTCGCGCCACTTGTAGTTTGCGTGCCCCCCTCCTTCGTCTCATTTCCCTCGCGGTATTCGCAGCTGCATATGGTTGGGTCCTTCGCCAGGCTAATTATCGAAGTCTCCTATTGTGGATCACCGCCGCCCTCTGCCTTTCGGTAACGCCCGTGCGGCTGCGGACAAACGTTGGGCCGACGTCTGACCAAGCGATTGGACTGTGTGTTCCCGCAACCACTGTGGAACGGGAGCGCTTGGGAGTGGGAAAGAAAGGAGGAGGAGGGGGGGGAGGAGAAGGGAAAGGAGGCAGAGGAGGAGGAGGAGGAGGAGGAGGAGGAGGAGGAGGAGGCAGAGGAGGAGGAGGAGGAAGAAACTGCGGAGGGACGTCCGCGATACGGCTCGTTCGTGCACCCTCCTGCCGCTCTGCCAGCCCGCCGCGCTCTCGCAGGCTGTGCGATCCTCGCGTCCACGCTCTCAGACTGTTGGGCCGACGACGAAGACCAACTGTAACGAACGCGTCGACCACGATGCAACCATCAAGTCGTTCGACAGGAGGCATATTCAAACACAGCCCAACAGTAGTCTGGAGACGATTTTTCGAGTACTTGTTGACCACTTGCGTACTGTTTGACGATCTCTTATTTCTCGTCCCGAATCTGCCCGCATGGGGGACGTGCCCGACCTGATGCAATCAAAGAATGCTGGGCCGCTGCGGGATGGCAGCGAGTGGGGCCGGCCCCTGCAGGGGAGGGCCTGCTTCTTCCTCTTGGCACGCACGAAATGGGTACGGAAAGTGTGGGTACAATGCCCAAAGGCAGCTCCTGGTCATTTTGAACTGGACTCGCCGTCCGGGCCGCCGCGGCCTGTGTCCATCTGAGACAGAAGGCCGCCTGGCGAACAGCGGCCGCTGTTGGTTTGGAGCAGCATTTGTTGTGTGGCACTGTGCCCACTTCTTCCGTGCCCATTTCGGGCGTCCAGATCTGTGCGGCTCGCGGGCCTGCGTTCGGCGCAGCCCTGCGGCTCCCGCTCCGTGCCACTCCCTCCGCGCCCTCGGCGGCCTCTCGACGGGGCCGCGGCGGCCCGAGGACAGGGAGGGGGGGGGGACCAGCGCAGATCCCAGAAGTCCGCGCGGAGCGCCAAAGGTTTACGTTTGCTGAGTTTTTCTTCTTTTTCTTCTTCAAGTATTCTTCGTTTTCTTCTTCGTCTTCTTATTCTTCTTCTTCTTTTATGCTCCTGCTTCTCCTTCTCCCTCGCGCTCCTCCCGGCACCCTCGTGTTTTCCTCATCCTAAGCGCGCGCGCGGAAGCGCTGGGGGGATGGGCGGATCGCTCGCCCTCGTCGACGTCGTCCTCCTCGTGCTCCAGTTGACCCCCTCCCCACGTCCTCGCCCTGCTCCGCCTCCCTCGTGTGGCCAACGAGGGACACGCGCATAAGCTGCAGCCGCACGCGCGGCGCTGGCGCCCCAAAAGCCGAGGCCGTGGCGAGTGCATCCCCCTGCGAGGGCCTCGCCAAGGCGGTCAGCCTTTCTCGTTTTTTGTGTGTGCTTGTTTTTTTTTCTATATATATATATATATATATATATATATATATAAAATTTTATATACACAAGGAATGGACGGACGTGGAGAGGGAACCAATTTACGAAGTTATGCGGGCGAAGGACCCAACCATATGCGGTGTCGGTAGTTTTGAGGCCACGAAGCTGGTGAGGGGTGCGCCGGCATGGAGCGGGGACCGCACGCGAGCCTTGCCCTTGGGGCCAAGAAGCGTAGGAGGGGTGTGTCAATAGGTGCGGGAGACGCATGCGAGCTCTCCCACGGGGGCCTTGGGTGGAGCTCCCTATGGAGCCGCGAAACGTGTGAGTGGTTTGCTCAATGGGGTGGGGCCGTCATGCCAACCCTGCTAGTGGGACCTTCGGTGGAGCTCCCTGTGGGATCACGAAACGTCTGACGGGTGTGCCGACATGGGTGCGGGAGACGCATGTGAGCACTGTCATTGAGGCCTTCGGTGAAGCACCCATCGGGCCACGAAACGTGTGAGCGCGAAACGTGCGAGAGGCGTGCCGTAATGGATGGGAGAGACGCATGCGAACCTTGCCACGGGGGCCCTGGGTGGAGCTCCCTATAGGGTCACTAAACGTGTGAGGGGCATGCCGACATGGATGGGAGAGACGCATGCGCAGCTTGCCACAGGGCTTTGCGTGTAACTCCTTATGAGGCCACGAAGTACGCGAGGGATGTACCATAATGGACATGTGGAGGGCAGAGGCAAGGATGAGAGGACGAGAGAGGAGGGAGTGAGGTGAATTGGCGCGGCGCGCTTTCTTTTCAAACTGAGGACCCAGCACCACAGGATGGTTGGGGAAGAACAGCTTTCTCCCGAGATGTCTATCCATGGTCGTTCTCATTATGTATTCATTGTGTGGGGGGGGTCGTGTATATTCTAAATGAAGCTCCTTGGACAGCTCTCGTACTGCGGCCGCGTAGGATCCGACCTCTCTGTCGTTCGACCAGTTCCAGGCGTGGTACACCAACTCGCTCTTTTACAAGGACCCGCAGCCTCCTGCTCCATCTCCTCCTCCTCGTCCTCGTTCTTGTCTTTGTCATCGTCCGATTCTCTCCTGCTCCTCCTCCTCGCTCCTTCTGCTTGTCCTTCTCTCTATCCTCCCTCCCTCCTCCTCCTCCTCCTCCTCATCCCTCCTCCTCCTCTTCCTCTTCTCTCTCCTCCCTTCTCCTCTCCCTGTACACCTGAGTCCTGACGAGGTCCCTCCCGTCGCTCAGAGGGCGAGCGATGGACAGCCTGCGGGGCCCGTCGGGAGTCTCTCCCGGGCGCGGCATTTTTCTCGCAACGGCCGGCCGACCGGCTGGCGCGACATGGGGGGATATCCAGAAGCAGGGTTTGTAAGGTATGTCCGCCGTTGGCCTTGGCACTCCCTCTTCCTCCCTTCTTTCTCCTCCCTCCTCCAATCCTTTCCCTTATAAATACATCCCTGTCGCACCCTGAGGCTGGTCGAAAGGGTGGGCTGTGCGTTTCGCTTGAGACTCTTCCACCATTCATGACCCTGTAGCTTACAAGTTGGAAACAGTTGCACAGATGGCGGCCGGGTGGTTTCCAAAATGTTGCTCTCGCCTCAGCGCCGCGCACATTCCTTTTGAACAACTGCACGAGTTTCACGGGTTGAGGGCGGGCCGTGTTCAACATGTGGCTCTCGCCTTAGCGCCGTGCACATTATGTTTAAGCATTTGCAAGCGTTTCACGGGTTGAGGGCGGGTCGTTTTCAAAATGTGGCTCTCGCCTTAGCGCCGTGCACATTTTGCTTAAGCATTTGCCAGAGTTTCGCGCATTGAGGGCGGGCTGTTTTCAACATGTGGCTCTCGCTTTAGCGCCGCGCACATGCGGTTTCTACATGATCTAGATTTTCACGAATTAAGGGCGGGCCGTTTTCAAAATGTGGCTCTCGCGGAGCGCACAACAACAAAACAACCAAGAACAACAGAGTTTCACACAATCCCATGATCAACGTACCAGAAATGGTGTTTTGGAAGTCCCAGAAATGGCGTTCTGGCACGATTCAGGATCGTCAAGACGCAAACCGTCATGTTGATCCCTGGCGTTGGAGTCCTGATAATGGTGTTGTGGCACGCTTCAGGGTCTTCGAACTGTCGTTTCCCAGCGAGGCAGTTGCATCAGTGGAAACATGCCCTTATATGTGTCGACGAAGAGGGAGCTTGGAGGGAGGGCTTATTAGTGGATGAGTCTGGCGTTTACACTGTTCCCTCCTCCTCCTCCTCCTCCTCCTCCTCTTCCTCCCCTCTCCAGGGGGGGCCAGAGCAGAGGCTGCAAGGGCAGGTCGAGGAGGCGAGGGTGGAGGAGTCCTCCTCTCCTCTCCAAGGTGAGCCACAGCAGAGGCTGCAAGGGCAGGTCGACGAGGAGGAGGAGGAGGAGCAGGAGGAGGAGGAGGAGGCGGAGGAGGAGGAGGAGGAGGAGAATTATGAAGGCTCGTCTCGAGGTTACGGGGCGAGCACCCCGTCCAAACCTTTTGCTGGATCTAGAGAATGTCAGAACGCTCACCCCTCTGGGGTTCAACGTCGCCACTGGCGTGACCCACCGTCCAGGGGGCCTGGGCTGGAGCACGCTCGCTCAGGCTCACCTTCAGTGGCGGTGGGAGGGTCAGGGTTTGCCGCCTCGAAAAGCCGACGTACTGACACGTACACATTCGAGGTCAATGGTGACAAGATTTTTTCGTCTGAGGATCTTTTGTCTTGCCTGACCGTCTGGGAGAAGATGATGAGGACGAATTCTGATGAAGCTGTGTCCAAGATCAAACAGCGTTGGGCCCAGTTGCGAGAACAGCTCCAAGGTGGTCGAGATCTGGCAATGCGTCTTCACCCAAAAGGGCAGGTTCGAGCTCGGCGGCCTGCGTGTGCCCCTGAGCCACCCCGACCAGCTCGAAGCCACGGTCAGGAGGTGCGCCCAGTTGCTGCCAACAAGTTTGGGATCGTGAGCTGCAACGCCAACTCCTGGAAGACGGCGAAACAGCTGCTAGCCCACTTGTCGACGCTCGGGGGCACCGTGTGTATCCAGGAGCATAGGTTGATTCAGCCGTTCCAGGATGTCTCAGAAAGACTTCAGAAGCAAGGCTGGGAAGTTTTCGGGTCCAAGGGACTCAGGCTACCGTCCAAGAAGGTCTCGGGAGGCGTCATGATCCTGGTCAAGGGCCACTTGGAGGCCTGGAGTCCAAACCCTGAACTGGTCCCAGGTCGGCTGTGTCAATGTTTCGTCCAGCATGGGGCACTGGGAATCTTGAATGTTTTCTGCGCGTACCTCTGCGACAGCGAGGGGCTTTCACCCAGAAGCATAGGCCTTCTGGAGGCGTTTGGGACTGCAGCTGCCCAAATGGGTTTCCCGTATGTACTAGCTGGTGACTTTAACGTTTGCCCGCACACGCTGACTCTAAGTTTCCCGCTCCACGTGATCAATGGGGGCGGTGCGAGCTGACCCGACAATCCCTTCGTGTGTGATGACGGTTGACGGCAAGCCTTGCGAGTCGACCATCGATTTTTTCCTGCTGTATCGTCATTTGGATGCGGCAGTGCTGACTGTAGACACGGATCTGGACACTACCCTGAAGCCCCACAGGCCCGTGGTCCTCCAGATAGGTACGACCACCAAGGGTATCTCCATCCAGGTCCCCAAGGCTTTCCAGAATATCCCCACGAAGCCCCTCATAGGCCCACAACAGCGGCATCCGAACTATGATGTGGTTTTGGGAGTTCTTGAAGATTTCTACGATCGTCTTGGAGGGGTGGATGCAGCACATGTTACCCTTGAAGGGGACCTCCGGGCCGAAGGAATCCAGATCCTTGGCCAAGCGTACAGAACGTGGAACGAACTGGCTTGGCAGGAGCTCAAGCAAGTCACAGGTACCAACCCGACAGGCGTGCATGGCGGCTACCCCATGGGGTGGGAGGAGAGGCCGCTGCCCGCAGTCTTGGCCACCAAGACGCGTTCCTTTCCTCAGCCACCTCGTGCCATTGGATGGGTAGTGGGCAGGCTTACAGAAATTCAAAGTCTACTTAACCAGGGCAAAACTCCAGGGACGAACGCCTACCTGGGGACTCTGGTCATGCAGTTAGTCAATATTTCTAGGTATGGAGGTCCATTCAGATCAGCTTGGAAAGATGGGGGTGGTTTCTGGCACCCTATTCTTCGGAGTTTGGGGGTTATCCTCATGGTGGACACAGATGGGGCCCACAATATCCTCATATATACGCTCCAGTTTGTCAAGGATTTCAAAAACTGCGTGTTCTTGTCTGGGGACCAGCTCGATTGGGCAGGATGGAAAGAGTGGTGCCAACAAGCTGTCGAGGAGCATGGGGCTCGGGAGGCTCACAGGTTCCTCAAAGGTGCCGAAGTCCCCAAGGCCCATCCAAGGCCACCAGGTCGAGCCACGGAGGCTGGGACCAAGCAGCTCCTACACAGTATCTCTATATTCGGGCCCGCTTGGAAAACCAGAGAGAGCCGTGGAAAGAAATCTGGTCGGCATCGGATCAACCGCGCGCCCCTTTCGAGTTTGTCCAAGGCGGGTTACCAGTAGGGAAGCGTGCTCAGGTGGATACCATCCGTGGGAGTTCGCGGGGTCTCAAGGACGCCACTTGCACGCCAGACGGCTGGCACCCAAAGCACCTCTCGCTCCTCTGCGATGACGGCTTGCTCGTGGCGTCGCTCCTCTTCCAATTGATGCAGGTAACGTGTGTTGCTCCAAATCAGGTGCAACGGCTTGTTGTATTGCTAGCTCCCAAGCCTGACCCCGCGGCCAGGCGACCTCTTGGGCATTTTGGAGGGTTCGTCCGTGTCTTTGGTAAGGTCCAGAAACAAGCTGCCAAGGACTGGGAACTTGAGTTTGGAATGGGTTCTGGTTACTCCATGGCTCCAAGAAGGTCCCCCTCGGACACCGTCTGGAGACAGGCTGTCATTGCAGAGCACCAAGGGAACTCAGGAGGTTTCTCGTTGCAGGTCCTGTGGGATATCATGCAGTTTTATGAACATGTTACTTATGATATTCTGGTTCGATCTGCCCAGTATTGCAAGTACCCTCTGTTTCTGCTGCAGTTTGCCATAGGGGACCTACCAATGGCCAAGGCATCTGATGCTGGAAGGTCTAATGGACGCGGCACTTTACCCAGGCCGCGGGATCGCAGCTGGCTCCACGACGGCTACCTATGAGGCAGAAGTCTTCCTCAAGCCAGGTGTGGGCCGATTCGCCACCAATATGTCCGATAGTGCCTCCCTCTCCCTCCACGTTGATGGCCTTGCTCTCCAGCAGTGGGGTGACTGCATGGGGTGGGTGGTGGGAGCACTCAAGGGTTTGGCTGAATCGGTCCGGTCGTATTTAGAGAATGAGTTGCAGCTCCCGCTCGCCTACCGTAAGTTTGGCATCGCTTCGTCGTCGGGTCCTCTTCTCCAACTGGGTCGAGTGGCTCTTGGGCATCTCGCTGGAGCTCTTGATGACGGGGATGTAACGAACCTTGGCGTGGACTTCTCGGGGGGCCAACAGATTCAGAAAGGGCGCCAGGAGGACTAGGGCCAAGCGGTGGATCAAATACGGGGCACGGAGGCGTAGGATGACTAGACTCAAGATCAATTCAGGGCACAAGAACAGATTGTTCCAGACTAATTTGAAGGCCACGCTCACGTACGGGGCTGATGTCCACGCCTTCAGCCCACACCAGATCAAAGAGATCAGGGCCTCTGCTGGGAAAGATTCTGGGGCCCTATTCAAAGGGGCGCAAGTGGACCTCGGATGGGCTCAATCGTCGTATTTGGACCCGATCGACATAGCGAGTGGGAGTATAGCCAGGGTAGCTGCAGAATGGTGGATGACGACGGCCTTCCACAAGAATGAGCACGTCCACAATGATGTGCTGAAGGCCGCCCTGCTCAGCCAAGCCGCGCATGCTGCCGCCTGCCGCCTTGAGGAGACGAAGGGTAAAAATTGGTTCTTCCGATCCCGAGGACCAATGACCGATGCCCTTCTGTGGTGTGAGGAAGCTGGTTGGAAAATGCTGAGTCCTGGGATTTTCCAGGACGCCATCGGAGACACCCTGAATTTCACTGAGGTGAGCCCTGCGCTGGTGGCCAAAAGGTTTGCCTACCAGCTTAAAGACACTTATATCCAGAAATATGTTCGAGGAGTTTGCGTGAAAACCGACTGTGACACTCAGGACCTTGAGCCCCGAGGACTGCGGTGGGATTTCATCAAGCAGAAGATGAACTCCACCAAGCTAGGCCTGACGCTGGTAGAAAAGCTCAGAGTGAAGCAGTTGTTTTGTGGAACCCTCCCGGCGGGCGAGGCCCTGGTGAGGTGGGGCTTCAATTTTAGCTTTGTGTGTAGTAGATGTGGCAAGCTCGACACTGCGTGGCACCGCGCATGGTCCTGCTTTTGCCCTGTTGCGTCAGCTGTCCGAAGTGAGGTTTTCCATGAGGCGTTAATTCAGCATGCCCTGGAAGTTGGTCCTGGGTTTCTCCGGTTTAGCCGTGCTTGGGTTGCCAGGCCAGATCTTTCAAAGGAGCCCCCTGCCCAGGACTGGGTCCAGGATTTGAAGTTTTTTTGGCCCTGGGGGTGAGGGCGTCCCACCGTTCGAATTCCCACCAGGGGCTGAGCTTTTTACTGATGGATCGCGTTTGTTTCCCCAGCTCAAGCCCTGCTCCAGGGCTGGGTGTTTAGTTGTCCAAGTGAATGAAGGTGGGGGCCTGGTCAGAGGCATCAGGTCCCCTGTCCCAGGTACGATGGAACAGTCCAGTGGCTCAGCAGAGGACGTGCCATCATGCTAGCCACCACCCACTCGGCTGATCAATGTCAGTCGGGTGCTCTTTATGTTGATTATGCGACCTTCCTAAAAGCTGTGAGGGCCCACCAGTGGGCCCTGTCTGGGGCCAGCCCGATGGCCCATATCTGGCGGGAAGTGGCCCGCAGGCCCCCTGGGGGCCCGCCTCGGCCCTCCAAGGTCAAGGCCCACAGGGCCGAGGAGGATGTCGCGGCTGACCAGGTTTATTATGTGCGTGGTGATAAGCTTGCTGACCACCATGCGGGGCTCGCTGCTCGGGCCCATGGATTCAGCAATAATGTCTCAGAAGAGTGCATGGCCATTCCCAAACTGTGCACTACCTTGATTCACGGCATGGGTAAAATGCCAGCGGAGTGGCCTACCTTCGGGGAGCTGGGTGAGCTGGGTCGTACTCGGGTGGGTCCCAAGGCCACTCCCAAGCCACGTACCCCTCACGAGCCAGTCTTCCACGACGGGAAGAGAAGATGTAACCTGTGCTTCAGGTTTCTCGGCCGCAAAGCGGTTCCCAGCCCGAACTGCAATGGCTTGGACCCGTCGCTTGCTTGTTTTTTTGACGGGCCGAGAAACCACCACAACCTCCACGTGGCTTGGGTCGAGAGCTCTGGGTTGCCTGTGGTGCATTGCATTCGGTGCGGTGCGTTTACCACGTGCAAGGCGGGCCCCAAACTGCGGGGACCGTGTGACGGGAAAGTTTTGGTCTGAGAGTAGGAAACTCAAACGAAGGATCCTACCAGGAACAGACCTGACTATAACCAACTCCGTAGCTCTCCCACCCCGAGGCCGTGAACTCAGGGAGGTGAGGAGACCTACGTAACTCTTTCAGGCCTGTGAGTGTACTGTGCTTGTACGGTACACCACCATTTGAGTAACTGAGTAACTGAGAGGAGGAGGTGGGGAGGACAGGGCAGAGGAGGAGGAGGAGGAGGAGGAGCAGGAGGAGGAGCAGGAGGAGGAGCAGGAGGCGGAGACGGCGGAGGGGAGCGAGTGTTAGCACCAAGTGTCCTCGACAGAATGTTCATGGATCATACCGCCCCGATGTGGCACACACAACAGGTTAGAAAGGGACCCAGTCGCCAAGTGACTCGCTGCCCCGCCAACGGTTCCCCCCGCGGCCATGGTTCGCCTGACACTACGGGGGCTGTGCTGGCGTGGTTCACCAGCTTACGGTTTTCAGCCGTATGCTCGAAATGAGGTAGGTCCAGCCAGCATACAGTCGGACCGAGGTATAAGATTGAGGTCGGTTCGGTGAAAGTCCTCTTGTGTTCTTCGTGCTGATTCGATGCTCTTGTGCATCCTGGGGGGGGCACCCTTGGATGTTCGGTGTGTTTTGGCTGGCGGGGGTCTCATGTTCTCGAGGGATGATCTTCTGGCCTAGGTCCGACTGTAGGGAAATAGCCGACGGCCACGTGCAAACGGGGTCCGCGCCGGCATTGGGTGTGCTTGTCTTGCGTATGCTCGGCCCAAGGAGCCCTGCCCAGGAGTAGGCTCACCGTCCCGCAGGACTTCCGACGTGCACACTGCGCCGCCTCTCCGCGGAAACGCCTGCTCAAGGTGCAGCTGACGCCACTGCAGTGAGCCATGGTTCAGGCCTCGCTGCACGCGGAAACAGTCGAAGGAGAGAAAACGCCATAGGCATAAACTTTTTTGCCCCTCCGCGCGGGTTTTTTCGATCCGCGCTGGGGCCCCCTGGCGGCGCCTCTGGCGCCGCCCCTGACGCGCTCCGCGCGCCAGGGAGGGGGCTACAGCGCAGGTCCAAGAAGTCCTCGCGGAGCGCCACAAGTGTATGTTTATGGCGCTTGTCCTTCTTCCAAGCAGGGGGATCGAACCCCTGCCATGCCACATGCCACCGCTTCGCCTGGACCGCGAGAATGGACGGCTGGCACTTCCGTCCCCGCATGCTTGCCGAAAGTCCTGGGGTTGTGATGGGCCTGTCTTCCGCCACCACCACCATCAGTTGGAGGGGGACGGAGTTGGAGGATGAGGAGGAGGAAGAACTTCCCCCTCCTACTTAGGGTGGCGTCGATGGAGAACACGCCTACCCTGCTGTGCCCCGAGCAAGAATGGCACTGACACCACGAGATCAGGTGCCGGGCCGCCGTTTGAGGGCATACGGCCGACGGGAGGTGGAGCAGGAGGGGAAGGAGGAGGGCTGCCAGCGATCAGCGGTGCGGGGCGGATATGGCCCGGGCGCGCTCGTGCTGGATCTGTTCTCCGCTGCCCTGGCATTGTCGGCGGGGGCGGGCCCTCGAGACAATGCCCCCGAGGGGCCAGACGTCATGAGAATGATACGCCCCGGGGCTTCTAAGATTGCCAAGACTTCCTGCCGTCCCGCACTGGCTCCAGGAACGATGGCGTCTGGACAATCTGGAGCTCCTGGAACGTAGATGCTCTGAGCCAATCGCATCGTGACTCGATTCTCATCCTGGTTGCAAGAGCAAGCCTCGGGATCGCCCTTTCCACCCCCCCGGCCTCGCCCATCCGCCTGCTCGTCTCCCGCCTCCTCCCTCCCCTCGCGCAGGCGAAGATGGACACGCACGAGAAACAGGGGGAGGCCGAGGAGGCCTTCATGACGCTGGACGCGCCCGAGGACGGTACGTTCAGGACCATGTTCATGTGCTCCGGCCTCCTCGTCCCTCTCTTGCTCCTCCTCCCCTGGCTGTCTGCCCTCTCGGCTCGTGCCCTCCCGCCAGTCTCCCTCTCCTCCTGGGCAAGCGCTCCCTCTCGGTTGTCTGGAGGTCGTGAAGGGGTGTGGTATAAAGGGGTGTGGTGCCACTCGTGGAACTGGAGATGCTATCTACGATAGGTAGCTTCGCCAGGCTCAACATTGGCACCACATCCCTTTATGCCACACCCTTTTCCGACCTCACAGGGTCAGCCCATGGGGGTTGAGTTGGGTGTGGCCGCGTTCGACGAGCTCGTAGGGCCATCCGCCATCCGCAATCAGCAATCGTACGCTCTGGCCGCCGCTTTGTCATGTGGGGTTGCATGCAGCCTCCTGGTGCTTCCTCAGCCCTGACCGCCTCAGCCCCCCGCGTCGCTTCGAGCCGCAGGGCCAGTTGAGACAAGAGTGCAGTCAACCCGCACAGTAAGGATGGGCAACCTTCCCAAGGGTACACCTGCATCCTTGCCTCCACGGTCCATCCTTGGCCACTCTCGTTGACCGCGCCCCGCTTGCGTCGAAATGAGCATCCAAGGCCTTTGCGTCCTTATCGCACATCCTTGTGATGCGGGCCGACTGTATTTGACCTTCGCGGGGCTCCCTCGTCGCCACTGTTGGACGCAGCCCGAAAAACTGGTGCGCTTGGACCCCAGGAGGGTTGTCGGGGGTTCGACTGTGAGTGTGAGTTGCCGTGGCCTCAATTTGCGCTGCTCTGATCTCTGCGAGGCTGCAGGAGCCCCTCTCGGCGGCTCCTCCGTCCTTGCTGCCCCCGCCCTCCTCGCGTCGCTGCCGGTAGCAGCAGTGCTGGGAAACGAGGGAAAGGCTGTGACGGATATCATCACTGGACATCGTCGCCGAAATGTGGCGAGGAGAGGACAAAGGAAGGCGGAGAGGTATGAGGAGGAGGAGGAGGAGAAAGAGGCGGAAAACGAGTAGCAGCAGGAGGAGGAGGAGGCAGAGAAGAAGCAGGAGGAACATGACGATGGTGAGGATGATGCAGATGAAGATGAACATGATGAAGATGGTGATGATGATGCTGCTACTGATGATGGTGGTGGTGGTTATGCTGATACGCATGATGATGCTGCTGATGATGATGCTCATGCTTATGATGATGCTGATGCTGGTGGTGGTGATGATGCTGATGGCGATGATAATGCCAATGACGATGGTGACGATGATCTTGATTATGATCATGATGCTGCTGATGATGTTTTCGATGATGATGACAATCCTGATTGTAAATATTCATATAACGACGGTGAGAATGATGCTGATCCTTATGATACTGATGATTATGCTGCTGCTGATGATGACGATGATGCGGATGATGGTGATGGCGATGATGATGATGATGATGATGATGATGATGATGATGATGATGAGGATGATGATGATGATGGTGATGGTGATGATGATGATGCTGATGATGATGATGATCATGATGGTGGTGGTGCTGGTGGTGACGATGACGATGACGATGGCGATGATGCTGATGATGATGACGATGTTGACGATGCTGATGTTGTTGTTGATGATGATGAGGCTGATGCTGATGTTGATGATGACTACGGGGGTAACCGTGACTATTAATGTAACGACGCCAATGATGACGATGCTGATGCTGATGCTGATGATGATGATGATGATGATGATGATGGTGATGGTGATGGTGATGGTGATGGTGATGGTGGTGGTGTTGCTGCTGCTGGTGTGATGATGATCGTACTTGTTCTTGTTAATGATATTGCTGTAGATTATGATGATGGTTCTGGCGGCTGCTTGTGATGGTGATGATGAAAAACGTTGATGCTGACGATGGATATAAATATACTGGGGATGATGGTGCTTCTGATGCTGCTGCTGCTGATGACGATGATGATACTGATGACCGTGAGCATTATGATGATGCGGGTGATGATGGTGACGATGATGCTGATGTTGATTAGGATGATGATGATGGTGGTGGTGGTGCGTGCTTCTGGTGGTGGTGGTGATGATGCTGATGATGCTGATGATGATTATGGTGATGATGATGATGATGATGATGATGATGATGCTGATGATGATGGTGATGCTGATGATGATGATGATGATGATGATCATGATGATGATGATGATGATGATGATGGTGGTGATGATGATGATGATGATGCTGATGATGCTGATGATGCTGATGATGATGCTGATGCTGATGCGGATGCTGCTGCTGCTGGTGGTGATGATGATGATGATGATGATGATGATGATGATGATGATGATGATGATGCTGATGACGATGATGACGCTGAGGAGGAGGAGGAGGAGGAGGAGGAGGAGGTGGAGGAGGAGGAGGGTTGACACCAGTGCAGTCGGTCGCAGCGGGGCTTCTGGACATCCCTCCCCCTGATTGCACGTGTTTTCGCTGTCTCGGGCTTCCGGAGGATTTTTGGGGGGCTTCCAGGACCTTGGTGGGGGGTGCGCAGAGGCCTTTGCAGACCCCCATGGGGACTACCCTCTTGCTTTGGAGTAGGGGGATGGAGGTTTCATGGCTGCTCTGGAGATGATAGTGGACAGGGAGGAGTGGGGAGGTACGGTGAGGAAGGAGGAGGGAGTAGGAGGTAGCCCATCCTACCCCGTAGCCCTTGCCCACGAGCCATGCAATTCCAACTTCAGCTTTGATTTGGGTGTCCAAGGGTCTTGCAACCCTTTATCGCGTGTTCTTCTGATCTGGACGCATTGTTGGAGGTAGGAGGACTTGCTCCGTCCAGGTATTGAACATATTCTGCCTCGTCCGGCGGGCGTGCGCAGGTATTTCCTAACGTACCCGATTTGCGCGGTACTCTACATCACCATCCCGGATTGCCGCCATCCCAGATTTCAGCACAACGCGAAGGAGGGGCAGGGCGTCGGGGGGGAGGGGGAGAAGGGAGAACCTGCATGCTGCAAAATGGGCCCCGAGTAACTCTAGATGGTGTCGGAGGATCGCGCCGCATGGCCGATGCGCCGGCGATGCCGCGTCATCGTGAGCCCTGTTTCTCTTACGAGCCCGACGCTGGCGGTGCATCGCCGATGCATCGGCGATGCAGTGCGTTCCTCCGACCGCATTTGCTCCAACTCCCTTTGGGCGGCCGCCAGAGTCTGACGGGATGAGAATGGGGCAAGTATTGATAGGGGGAGAGAGACGAAGAGGTTGGGGGAGAATTGGAGGTGGAGTCAGAGTGAGATGGTGAGGGAGGATGTCGGTGGGGTAGGGTGTTCCGCCTGCTGCCTCATCACGGGCTTCGGTGAGACAAGTGGAGCATTTGACAGGATGGAGGGCGGTATGTTTTCAACGCCGTGCATGTTGTTATTCTGGTATCCTGAGGTTTTCGTGGCAGGTTGGTGTCCTGAGTTTCATTCTGCGCCAGCTTCACTGATTCAACATGTGCGCCGGAGGGGGGTCAGCGGCTCTTCAAACAATGGCGCTCCCGTCCGTTGGCCATCTTTGTGCGGTTGCAGGATCGAGCGACCATGACCTCTTGCAGACATGGTTGTCGACATTGTTTCAGTACCGCGTTTTTTGTCCTGGTGACATGAGCAAGGTCGCGACAGGATTTTTCACTGCACAAGTTTTTCGTCGACATGGTCGTCGTCAGGTTTTCCAAGGGCTCCCTCGAGGGCGCGAAGTTATTCGCGCTTCGCGCTTCGCGGTCCTCGTTCCTTCTCCCCCTCCTCCTCGTCCTCCTATTCTCCCTTTGGGAGGGCGGCGCGAGAGCGCGAAGTTATTCGCGCTTCGCGCTTCGGGGAGCGCGAAGCGCGAAGTTGGGAGCCCTAGTTTTCTCACTGCACAAGTTGTGATGTCATGAACCGCATACGGCTACGCAGGGGACCTTGGGGGTGTCTCGTTTTCAACACCGTGCTGTCGCCGCGTCTCCGCGGGCACGCCTTCTTTTCACAAGAGCCCATCGACGACAAGGATGCAGGCACGTTCTCTCCGAAGCACGTCGTGGTGTTGGGGCACATGGCCATCTTCGCGCGGTCCTTGGCGCGCACTGTCAAAGCTGCTGGGGTCTCACAGTCCCGTTGCCGTTCACATCCTTGCACTGCCGATTTCCGTGAGTTGCCACAGTGGTGTCCACAAGCCGATGCGTTCTGCACCGTTCTGGCGGTCGTCCGCCGAAGTGGAGCTGAACACGTTCCCTTCGTGTGATCGCCAAGAGGGGACTCTTTCGTGGGGGACGGGGCGGCCGAATCCTGCGCCACCCGCGCGACTGGGGTGCTGGCGTCAACTTCAGCACGCCCCCCTGCCCCCGATGCAATGTTGGTTTTCCTTGCCAGCGGGGTGCACGATTTTGGCCAGTCGATAGATCGACGCATCCCGGCGCAGCCCGACAATATTCCCCAATCAGTGCTTGCACTGAATTGGTCCTAGCGGAAGTTGAAAGATTTGGCGAAAGTTTCCCGCCGATTTTGGTAGCAGGCTGGGTTCCTGGGTTCCCGTTTCCGGGTTCCCGGGTTCCCGGTTCTTGGTTCCGGGCCGATCTCGGTGAGTTCTGGGTTCCCGGGCTCCCGGGTTCTCGGTCGATCTCCTCAGCGAAAACCATGCACTGATTGGGGTTTCTCTCTGGTGTAATAAAAGTGGGGGCGCGGGGGTGTTCACAAAAACCAGCATTCAGGATGTTGCCCATCAGCCAGGGCGCGGCGCTGTAGCGCCGCTGGGTGCTTTTGGGTTCGCTCTGGCCTCGCTTCTGCTTCTCCTCTCGATTATTCTCAGCATGTGTGTGTGTGTGTGTGCGCGTTGCCGACTGTGTTTGTTCCGTTCGGCCATCATTGATTTCACTTGCTGCGTCGTCTTGGAAGGATTCCGTGGACAAACACGCGTTGGCGCCAGCACGTTCAGAGGATCATCGATCATTCCTCCTCCTGGAATATGCGTCGAGCGAGGGGGGGGCGTGAGAAGGAGAAGGCCTTCTCAGAAGGCGGCGGGACTGCTCAGAAGCCCTCGCGCCTTCTGAGGGGTTCCCTGTGCCTTCGGGGAAAGCTCTGCCGACTTCTCAGCAGGCCCGGGCACTTCCGAGCCTCCCGAGCAGGCCTCCTCCTCCTCCCTTCCCCCCCCGTCGCTCGCCGCCGATGGCAGAGCGTGCGCCGTCGCCGGCACGGCGGGGTCTGTCAGCGAGGGCAGGGCACGGGGGATGGAGGAGGGGGCTGGCTACTCACCGAGTGCGTTCCACTGCTCGCAAGGTGCCTACTCGCAAACGTCTGAAACTCACATGTTTGCTCTGCCTCGAGATAGAGGATCGTAAACATCTCCATCCCCCGTGCCCTGCCCTCGCTGACAGACCCCGCCGTGCCGGCGACGGCGCACGCTCTGCCATCGGCGGCGAGCGACGGGGGGGGAAGGGAGGAGGAGGAGGCCTGCTCGGGAGGCTCGGAAGTGCCCGGGCCTGCTGAGAAGTCGGCAGAGCTTTCCCCCTCGCTCGACGGCCGACCGTTGGCAGTTCTCGATGAAAAACACAAGCATACACTTTCGAGGGGGCTCTGCGCGAGCCCATGAGGTCCTTGGGGGCCTCCGTGAGATTATATTCATGCAGTTGTTTGTCCTATGACAGCAGTTCCTGCCCATTTTTACCAGGGCTCGTTGTCGATGTCGCTGCGGGCTCCGTCCACTTGAGGCAGAAAGCCGCCTGCCCGACAGCGGCCGCTGTCCGCTTTGGACAGCACTTGTTGCCGGGCATCGTGCCAATTTGCTCGGTAGTCACAATGGTCAGGCGATCGCAAACGTGGATCAAGGGAGCGTGGATGAGCGACGGGTCCCGTTTCCATGCTAAATCGCGGATTTCCGCCGCCGAACGAGGCAGCACCGGCCGCACTTTGGGGAGGGCACCTCCCCCGATCCATGGATCAGGCGACCGCGCTCCAAATCCATGGATCGCTAGTCCAAGCTTGCGCGCCCCCGAAATGAGCGTCCAAAGTGGAGGAGTCGCACTGAAGGAAAGGGTCCCGAGAGACCCGGGGACCTGGACAGCTGGGCTTTCCCCGGGGCCGGCTCTTCATCTGGGGTCGTGCTTGGGGTCTGCAACAGGGGGTCTTCAATGGGGGCTGAATGGCCCATGTATGCTCAATGTATCGTTCATGTCTGTGATCGGGTACGATTGGCATCCAATGCTGGCGGTCATTGATGGCCAGTCATTCGTGCCCGCGCGTTGCCCGCGCGGGCACACGCGCCGTCCATCCATTATCGTTCATGCGTGCGGGCGTTCTTGCATATTGCGTGTGGGTCGGCGAAGTGGAGTGCAAGTGTGTCTTGATTGTGCGATTGATGATCGCGTGTGTTCCCAAACGATGATTTCTCGACCCCCAAGACAGATTTGGAATGGGCCCCGCGATTCTCCCAAAATGTGAATTCACATTTTCCTTTTTCCCAAACGGTGAATTCACATTTTCCTTTTTCCAAAATGTGAATTCACATTCTGGCCCCTTCATCAAGAATCCTACACAAAATTCCAACATGTGAATTCACATTTTCCTTTTTCCCAAAATGTGAATTCACATTTTCCTTTTTCCCCAAATGTGAATTCACATTTTGCTTTTCCCCACAATGTGAATTCACATTTTGCCCTGGCCTTCAAGATCCCCAAAACTGAGGCGCAGTGTTCCGCATGTCAGATTGGCTGGGCAGATTTCGACACTCACCTGACCGCTTTCGTGTGTTCCAGCCTTTTTTTGCGCCCTTAGCGCACGTTGCCTTCGTCGCCTTTCCCGAGCCCCCCGCCCCCTTGCTTCCTTCCCCCTCAAGTCTCGCTCGCGGGTGCAGGTGGGGGGCTTCAATTAGTTCCCCCACCGAACACAGCAATCGAGGATGTATCGCCCATTCATGGCTTTAAAAAACATCATTGCGGGGACCCTGCGCCCGACCCCCACTTTCACCCTCCAACTCGGGGCCCGTGGAGGGCGCCGTCGGGGGCCCGAAAGCGGGACTCATTTCCCGGATTCATCTCCTCCTCCTGGTCTCGTTTCCATCATGCTGTCGGGGGCGGCAAAGAGGGGGGTGATGACAAGGGGGGGTTGGATATCATGACGGGGGCCATGAAATCTTTCCAGGTTTCACGGCGCCTCTTCTTATTTCAATACGTCCCCCCCCTTGGGCCGCGCACGTGCCGCTGGCCATGATTTGCACCCCCCCACTCTTGGACGTCCCCCTCTTGGCCGCCCCCGAATGCTGAGAGGAGTGAGCGAGGGGAGGAGGGGAACAGCGGCGAGAGCATCAGCAGGACAGTTGGGGATAGAGGTAGGTCGAGGCAGTGGAGGAGGTGGAGGCAGAGGAAGAGGCGGGGGCCAGGGAGGCCCTGAAGAGGAGGCGGAGGAGGGCTGCCGAGCGAAGAAGGGCAGGCATTCAGGCAGAGGACGGGCGCGGCGACGCGAGGGAGTGCCCGTCGGGGTGGGCTGTGGAATGCTGATGGCGCGGGGTCGTCGTTATCGCTGAGTCCCGTGCTCGTCGTCCTCCGCCTCCACCACTCCCTCGTCGCCATCTTCCTTCGTCGCATCCTCACACTCATCCTCGTCTTCCCCTCGCGTTCTCGCCGCCGCCCTTGTCGTCTCTGTCCTCCGGCTCCCAGCCTTTGGCCTCAGGCCTCTCCTCCTCCTCCTCTTCCTCCCCCTTTTCCCCTTTCTAAGTTGTGCCTCCCTCTCCTCCTCCTCCCCACCTCCTCCCCTCCCCTTCCTCATTTTCTCCTCCTCCTCCTCCTCGTCCTCCTCCACCTCCCCTCCTGCTCTCCTATTCCTCATCCCCTCCTGTCCCCCGCCAGCCTCCAGCGAGCGAGAAAGCGGCGGCAGAGCGCGCGGGGGGGAGATCGCGATGGTGTCGTTCGCGCTCAGCCTCTTCTGGATCGCCGTGTTCTGCAACCTCCTGTTCGCCGGGCGGCCTGGAAATCGGGGCACAAACAATGATATACACATTTTCTATTAGATCGGGCGGGTGGTAATTGGGGGGTGACCCGAATGGGGGGTGAAGAAACAAGGCCCTGAAGGGCCCATTGATGGCCTTTGGAGCCAGCTGGTGCCCAAAAGTGGTCCCAAATGGCCCTTCTGGGCCCTTTTTCTTCATCCCCAATTTGGATCACCCCCCATTACCACCCGCCCAGTTCGAGGTAAGTCGAGCGGCTCGAGCGTGCCCCTCTACAGGAGGAATATTCAAAGTACAAAATCGTTTGGGCACGTGTTTGTGTGATTATTTGTTTGATTATTTTTGATGCTCTAAACTATTGTCAATCCGCCTGTAGGAGAGATGCCCGACCTCAAATTAGAGGGTGGGCGACAACGACGAAGGAAGGCTCGGATTCAGAAAAGTTGCCAGCGCTGGAGCGAGACGACCAGCAGCAACAGGAAGAGGACTGGAAGCAGCGGGATGAGCAGGACCAGGGGAATGTGGAGGAGGGAAGATGAGGGGGGGACTAGTATGAAGCAAGACTCGGACCCAGAAAAGTGGCCCGCGCTGGGCCGAGATCGCCACCCTGAACGACGGGAGCAAAGTGCTGGTCCGAAAAAGATGCCCACGCTGCAGCGGGAGGTTCATGTGGAAACAACGACAACAATCGGAGCATTATTAACCATACGAAACATCAAATTATGAACTCCGAAATCCGGTATACACATCAGCACGTGGAGGGGGCGGGAGATCTTCCAGACATCTTCAGGGGTGGAGGGAGAGTGAGGAGGAGGAGGAGGAGGAGGAGGAGGAGGAGGAGGAGGAGGAGGAGGCGGAGGATGACCAGTATAACACAATGTTCATCAACGAGGCTGGAATCAACCCTCCCTCCAAGCTCCCTCATGGGCCCCTACAAAAAGTTATTTCCACTGGGGGAAGTGCCCCGTTGGGAGACAACCGTTTGAAAATCCAGAAGCGTGCCAGAACATCATTCTCGGGATTTCAACGCCACAAATCAATTTGGCTGTTGCGTGTTGACGGTCCTAAATCGCGCCAGAACGCCATGCCGGGGACTTCCTGCACCGCGAATCAACGTAACTGACGCGCCCTGGCAGTCTTGAATCGTTCCAAAACATTGGTTCCTATACGTTATAACCATCGGAATCCGCGAGGGTCCCTGTCAAATGTTTCAGACGAGTGTGCACGGCGCTGAAGCGGGAGCCTTATTTTGATCAGGAGCCACCCTCAATTTGCGAACCTTTTGCGGCATTTTCCTTAATAACGTTTCGCTAGAAAGGGTTCGAATGGTGCTCCAACATTTTCTCCCGCCAGAGTTTTCACGGTGGGGGCCAGGTCGAGGCGTCTCCCAGGCCTGGCGGCGGTGCGGCAGCGCTCAATCTGGTGTTCTGGTTTGATTTGTTTAACAATTGTGGTTCACTATTGTGTTCTGGGGCCCAGAATCTGCCGGCAGTGTCATTCTGGTGTTTTATGTGGACATGGTCTTGAAGTGCGTCTCGCTCAAGCGTTTTGGCTCGATTTCATTTGAATGCCTTTTTCTCGGGGCTCGAATACAGTCGGAGGTTGGGGGTGAGATCGCAGTGAAACGGAGACCCCGCACCTGGAAATCGGTTTCGGTTTCGTGTTCGTGTCGTGCGTGCGGGCGAGGCGAAGCTGCGCGTGATCCTCCTGTAGCTAGCTAGGCCGAAGTAGGAGCGAGAGTCCGTCCCCGTCCGCCGGTGGCTGGGAGGTGTCTCAGTTGGGCCGGGCGGTGTCCCGGGTGTCCCCGGTGTCAGTAGGAGCGAAAGTCCGTTTCCTGTCCGCCAGTGGCCGGGAGGTGTCCCAATTGGGCCGGGCGGTGTCCCGGGCGTCCCGGCGCTAACGCATGTCGCTAATTTCATAATTCATTTTTTTCGGCGTCTGCGGCGGGCTTTCTTATCCAACCCAGCTTATCTTATCCAATCCATCTTGTCCAATCCAATACATCTTATCTTATCCAACCCATTTTGTCCCATCTTATCTTATCTCATTCAATCCAATTCACTTAATAATTTACTTTATCAATTTATTTGTTCCTGCGCCTGCGGCGGACCAATCCATCACTGCCATCGCTGCTGTCAGCACCGCCGCACCCAACACCCATCGTCACTGCCATCATTGTGGTGGAGGGGGAGACTGAGAGAGAAAGAGAGAGAGAGAGAGAGAGAGCGAAAGAGAGAGAGAGAGATATAGAGATAGAGAGACATATTACCTGGTATGCGATGGTTGTCTCGTGGTTGTCTTGTGATGGTCCTGATGGTTGTCTGGTGGTTGTGCCGATGGTTCTCCTGTGGTTGTCCGACAACAGATCGTTTTTCGGCGCCTGCGGCGGCCTTTCTCATTTTGCTTGTGAGGACGATAGTGAGATCGACAGTGAGATTCACCGATAGGTCGGTCGACGGATAGGTAGATAGTGGGATCTCATCGTCGTCGCGATCTGTGGTGGAGGGAGACTCTGATAGAGAGGGAGAGAGAGAGAGCGAGAGGGCGAGAGAGAGAGAGAGACAGAGAGTGAGAGAGAGAGAGAGACGAAGTGAAAGAGAGAGATGAGATCAGGGTGACAGGCTGGAGTTCAGTCAGGGTGGGCATTTGATCTCAATCCCCCCCAACCTCGTTATCGCCCGCAGGGCGGTCGTATAGGTATGTTTGACCCGTGTGTCAAGCATATAGATTGCCCACCTCTTGTGGCTCCAACCCTACGTGCTTCACGTATGTACGTGTATATTGTCCCTCTCCTGTGGTTCGAAACCTGTATGCTCTACGTGTGTACCTATTGATTGCCCCTCTTCTGTGGCTCGCATCCAGTATATGTTTCCGCTGTTCCTATGTCTTGCCTCCTCATGTTGTTCGAAACTTGTGTGTGTGTGTGTGTGTGTGTGTGTGTGTGTGTGTGTGTGGGGGGTGTCTACGTTTGTGCCTCAGGATGATTTTTTGTGTATGGGGAACTACCCGTGACATACACAACCTATACGACCACCATTCGGTTGATAAGGAGGTTGTGTGTGGGGGGGAGAGGGAGGGGAACCAACATCTGACTCAATCGATCTCACTATCGATCTCACTCATCGGGACACCACGGGACATCACGGGACACTTGTCGATCTCAGTATCGATCTCATTGTCGATCTCATTCAACGGGACACCACGGGCTATCACGGGACACCACGGGACACCGCGGGACACCTCTCGATCTCATTATCGGTCTCACTCTCGATCTCACGATCGATCTCACTCAACGAGACACCATAGGACACCACGGGACACCTCGGGACACCACATCGATCGCACTAGCGATCTCACTATCGATCTCACCCAATGGGACACCACGGGACACCACGGTACAGCTGTCGATCTCACTATCAATCTCACTATTTCGGACACCACGGGACACCTCGGGGCACCACAGTATCGATCTCATTGTCGATCTCACTCAACGGGACACCACGGGACACCACGGGACACCTGTCGATCCCACTATCGATCTCACTCAACGAGACACCACGGGACACCTCGGGGCACCACATCGATCGTAGCATCGATCTCACTATCGTTTTCATTATCGATCTCACTATTGATCCCACTCAACGGGACACCACGGGACACCACGGGACACCACGGGACACCGCGGGACACCGCGAGCAACCGCCCGACGGACGGACGGACGGGCGGGCGGGGGAGAACTACTTGTCTTGACTTCGCCCCAGCAACGGCGGACACCACGGGACACCGCGGGACACCACGGGACACCGCGGGACACCACGGGACACCGCGGCACACCGCGAGCCACCGCCCGACGGGCTGGAGGGGGAGAATCATTTGTCTTGACTTCGCCCTAGCAACGGCGGGTTCATTCCTCTCGCGCTCCCACGCAGCTTCGCCTCGCCCGCACGCGCGACACGAACGAAACGAAACGATTTCCCGGTTGGGGGTCGCCGTTCCACTGCGATCTTACCCCCCGGCCTCCGACAACTCGGAGGTCTGCGCGGATTTTTCTCGGATCGGCGCAGACCTCCTAACTGTAATGTTTATGGGATTGTTTGTTCCCCTATTGTGGCTTGAATATGATGTTTCTTTTTGGCATGTGCTGATACCTTGCCCCTGTCCTGCGGCTCGAACCCTATACGCTTTGCATGTGCCCATCGAGTGCCCTCTACGCGTGGCAGCAGCAACGTAAGGGCAGGCAGCATCAGGAGGAGCCAGGATGTCCTCCCCCATCCCCGCTGATGAGGCCTCCCGAGGCCATCCGATGCGCACACATTGCCAAACCTGTTTACGAACTCGCTAGGGGCTTGACGTCTTCTGCTGCTTGTCGGATCGTGCTGGTGCGTCCACGATTTTCCCACTAACGTATCTGGATAAATATGGATCTGCTTCCGTCTAGGTGGTTGTGTGTGTGTGTGCGTGTGTGTGTACGGTAGTTCGACTTATGTGGCTCGATCCCCCCCACGTTGTTTGGAGAAGAGTCGTGGCCCCCTTGCGGACAAACCTCGATCCTCGATCATCATCCTCTTCCTCCTCCCCCGCTTCTCCTTTTATCGTCTTCCTCCACTTCTCCTCGATCCTCCTCCTCTGTCTCCTCGATCCTCCCTTCCTTTTCACCCACTTCTCCTCGATCTCCCTCCTCGTTCCCCTCGCTCCTCCTCCTCCTTTGTGTCTCAAAGTTAGATCCTCTTCCACTTCTCCTCGACCCTCCTCCTGTTCTTCCTTGATCTTCCTCCTCTCCTCGGTCCTCCGATTCCTTCTCTGTCTCCTCGATTTGCATCCACCTCTGCTCGATCCTCCTCCTCCTTTTTCTCCTCAGACCTCGTCGTCCTCCTCGATCCTCGATCCTCCTCCTCCGCTCCCCTCGTCTCGCGCGCATTCCATCTCCTCTCTCCTCCCCCGCGCGCCGCAGGTTCGAGTGCACCGTTGTGCTGAGCAACTCGATCCCGATTGCGCCCGAGATCGCAGGAGGCAGTCCTCCACGCCAGTGGGGAGCGGGCGGCAGGGTGAGGATCGAGCAGTGGCGAAGCGTCTTGTCTGATATTTTTTTGTCTAAACAAAACACATCAGGCCTCTGTTCTACGAGCATTGTTTTTGTTTGTCGAACGATTTTGGGGTTCTGAGAATGTTTCGTGGTAGGCCTAAAGGAATGCTGGGACGGTCGGTCCCTGCTCAAGAGACTGGAATGTGGCAACCCGCACGTGCAGCACTGATTGCGGAGGCCTTAGGGCCAGCGCCGCCGACCCTGAAGGGGGACGACGACGACGACATACGACGACGGCGGCGGCGGCGGTGACGACGACGACGCTGACGCTCTGAGCGGGAGGTCGCCCTCCACACCAACGGCGGGAGGGCGGACGGACGAGGGCTATAATGTGGCAACACCCGCGCGCAGCAATGGATTTGCTTGGTTCGCAGCAACACGTGGCAACACGCACGCGCAGCAGCAGATGCAAGAACTACAAGCCCACCTTCCAGCCACAACCAACCAACCATTCACATTCACAGCACTGCGTTGAGGCCGCCCTTCACACCAGCGGGGGGATTGAGGAAGGAGGAGGAGGAGGAGGAGAAGCAGGAGGAGGAGGTGAGGTTGGTAAGTAGGAGGTTCCGGAGCATCCTTGCCGTTGTGCACTCCTCTGTGCCCTAGCGGGCTTCTCCTCCTGTCTAATGCTCTTGGATCTTCTATTTTAGATCGTGCACGCATTGGTTGAATATCTTTGAGTTGAGCAAGCGCTGCGTTCCGATTTCTTTTTGCTCGGATCACGGGCGTCAAGACGCGACGGCTCATGTTAGCCAACGTTGATCCAACGTACAACCAGGGGGAGGAAGGTCATCGACGATGTAGATGTTACACGTTCCTTGTCCTCCCGAGGCCTCCAGAGGAGGAGGAGGAGGAGGAGGAGGAGGAGGAAGAGGAGCAGCAGCAGAAGGGGGGGACGGGTGGTGGTTGAGGGCGCGGATGTGGAGGATGGGGAAGGAGGGGGAGGAGACGCACATTGGGGAGTGGGAGGAGTAGAAAAGGTGGGAGAACAGGAGGAGGAGGAGGAGGAGGAGGAAGATGATGAGTAAGATACAGATGAGTATGGCGAGGACAAGGAGGCCTGGGATTTTCAACAGTGGCCCCTGACCTCGGGCGTTCCTCTTCTTCTCCTTCCCGCTCTCCCCGCCCTCCTCTTCCCTCCCGCCTCCCCCCCTTGACCCGCGAATGTCTCCGTGCCGGTCGGCGCGGCGGCCCGTCCGCTCCAGACACCCGGCGGGCTTCTGGCGGAGGCCCCGCGCCGACACCGTGGCACTGGCAGCGCTGTCGTCTCCGCGCCCTTCCCCTCCACGCGGGCGAGGACCTGCGCGGCACGCTTCTCCCAGCAGCCGCCTCAGAGGTGCCCCGGCACTGGCAGCGCTGTCGTCTCCGCGCCCTTCCCCCTCCACGCGGGCGAGGGCCTGCGCGGCACGCTTCTCCCAGCAGCCGCCTCAGAGGCGCCCCGACACTGGCAGCACTGTCGTCTCCGCGCCCTTCCCCCTCCACGCGGGCAAGGACTTGCGTGGCCCCGTTCGCTCATGCAGG